GTCAGACGGACTGAATCGGCCCTTGCCAATTCAAATCGCCGGCCATCATGGCCAACCGTGCCCAGGCCGCTCACACCGCGTGGCGGTAGTCCGCTGGCGCTGGCCCACCCTGCCATGCCAAAAGGGAGAGCCCTCAACTCTCCACTCACCCACGTGCTCACTCTCGCTCTCGCTTTCTCTCTCGCCCGCACGCCTCTCCAGAGCGGAGTAGCACCACAGCAGCGTCGCCGCCGTGCCTCCACTGTGCTCGAGCGCTGCCACCGTAGCGCCACCGCTCAATCACTCACACCCACAGCTCCACCATCACCTCCTCCACCTCGCTGACCCGCCATTGCCTTAGCTTGAACCAAGGTAAAGGCCTATGGGCTGTCGCCATCGCTGCCATAGCCACTGTGCGCCACCAAGATTCAAGCTCGCCCATGGCCAGCCCTATCCACCGTAGCTCCTAACTTCTTCTCTGTTGGTCCGTCATCGCCTTAGGTCATAGGTGTTCACGCCGTAGCCTAGATCACCATTACTACCGCCATCTCGTGGGAACATGCAACTGCACCACGCGCACCCACCATGGCCTTGAGCTCTAGCTCGTCGTGGCCGACCTTATCTAGATCCCATCGTTGCCCTCTAGCATGTGTTTCCACACCTCCACTAACCCTAGCACCATCACTGAAGATGGAGACTCATCACCCATCACCGGCTCGCCGGAACGGCGACACCACCGCCATGCTCTGTGCGCCGCTGCATCACCATGCACACGACCAAGCTTCACCGTCGCTCCACCGTCGCCCTAACCTAACCCTAGAGCTTCGCTAGGACTTGCTGATGTTGTAGCCGCGCTCGCCTAGACATCACGTCGCCGGAGACGACGAGTCTGCCACCGCGCTCCGCTCTAGTTCCACTAATGAGTGGGGCTGAGTTGACTGCGGGATCCACATGTCAGCGCCTGAGGGTGTATAGACCGAGTGTACCTAGCATTTAGGGTTTAGTTGGTTTTTGAATTATTTTCATAGATTTGAATACAAACTTCAAAAATTCATATCTAGAGCTACGAGTATCCAAATGGGGTGAACCAAATTTTGTTGGATTTATATTGAAATGTACTATTTGATAAAAATATGAAATCTACTGTTTAGGGTATTTTCTGGGAGAATTAAATTGAGGAAGATAAGTGCTTTTAAATTAGGTTATATCTTGTAAAATGCATAACTTGAGCTAGAAAGATAATAAAATTGTGATTCCAATTTTGCTGATCTTATGTTGATATGCTCTAGCTAGAAAAAATACTAAACCTACGGTAGACATACTTGAAATATGGTCTTCATATTTAATCCTAATTAATTGCTAGTTTCTAGTGAAATTAAATGGGGTAAAAATACATAACACATGATCATGCAAATTTTTATATAGTATTCTTATGCTAGGAGGAAAGTAAGAAAAATATTAAATCTATTGCTTGACACTTTTCACTATGCTAAACTATTTTTGCTAAACTAAGCATATATAGCTTGTCATTTTTGTAGAGGTGGCTATACTTATACAAATACCATGAAAATGGTATAGTAGGCTATTAGGGTAATTTGTAGGTTACTGTAATTTTCTTAGAATTTATTGAGCACTAGAAATATTTATCCTTTAAATCACCTTATTATATAAGGAAATTGATAAATGAATATAAATAAATTAGTTAGACATAACCATGATGTTTTCTATTATTCTTATGATGCGTATGATCTATTGGTGCTATTAGTTGGGCTTAGAAGTAATTGGTTATGGGCAGCTAGTTAATTATTGTTTTATAATTCAACTAGATGGCTGCATGTATAGTTTTTGTTGTGGTGGCAAATTCATGATGATAATGATATTTTGTGTGAAACGTGTTAATAAAAAAGTTGTAGATAACTTACTTATCTACCTTGTGTTAAAGTTTCATAGTCATAGGCCTTATGGTTTGAGAATTATAGCTGTTAGAAATCTGCTGTCAGAAATACTTGTTCTCTGGACAGATCTGAAAGATGGAATTGTTTGGCCTATATAACTATTGAATCACCTTAAGATGATTCAAATAAAGTTGTAGACAATTTCATAAGCTTTCCAAAGAGTCTACAACAATATTAGTTTGATGTGTATAACTCCAGTTATGATCAAAACAAGTGGCTGTTGTCTTGTGGTCCAAAAAATTGCTTAGATGAGAATTTGTTTAATTACTAGAGAAGAGATATACACCTACTCAGTAAAAGAAAATTTATCTTGTTATCACCTTAATGTAATGCTATTGAGAACACTTATGAGGATGCATTTAATCACACCATATCATATCATGCATGTCAGTATATATGCATTCGTGATAACTTATTTCATGCTCATGCATATTGGAACGTCCAAGGGGATCACTCTATTGAAATTCAACGAAGAAGAAGAGGAACATCAAAAGGCACCTCATCCCGTAGCTCCAGAAGGCGAGGAGCAAGCTCTTGAGGACCTACCCGAGTGTTCGGATCATTGGCCAACTTCTTTTCTCAAAGGCAAGCCCCGGAGCATTTTAAGTCTCCCATGTTTTACAAAATATCACTTGAGTCCTTTATGTTTGATGCATAGGTTATAAGAGTTGAATTGGAAACACTTGATGCATAGAACTACCTTGTCTAGATAAATATACCTTTAACCCTGTGTAGGTCCAGGATCGAATATATGCTTAGCCATGCTTAGACCGGTAGAAGTCGGGTGATTTCCTGTCACCTGCGAGATATAGGTGGATACCGCAGCACGGTTGGCTATATTTGCTATCATGGAAAAGAATCATGGGGTAATGTAACTAGAGGTCAGATAGAGTCTATGCATAGGTTGGTTCATGTGATTCGGTCTATGCCGATTAAGGACTGTACCATTGTTGGAACTTCTGTTGAGATTGAACGCATGCCTCTCACTTAACTGGCCGGATAACTTGTTCCGACCATGAAGCCAAGTTGCTCAACTCAAGCCAAGCCCCATTCTATTAGAGTGCGCACTCTGGATGATAGTAAGGATGTGCGGGGAGCCAGATGTGAGCCCAAGGGTAGGGTAGTCCTGATCGTCCTGGCAGCTGGTTGTCCCTGGTTGTGCGGCGCTGATCGAACCCACGAAATGTGTACCTGAGTTGTACCAAAGGTGACCTAAGGTGACCATTGATCTAGTCTACCTGGGTTTGTATTAGGCATAAATTCCCAGCTGGTTAAAATCGATTCAAATCGCTGTCTCTCCCGGACAGTGAGAAACTTGGCTAGCTCCAACATCGTAGTAACTGGATTATGGAATGATGGTTATGGTGAACTTGGAACTTTTACACCAGCTATGGTTACTACTGTATGCTACTAAATGATATACCACATGTTTGGCACAGGTTAGTTGCTAATCTAGAGATGAATAGCTATAATTAACTTAATGACCGAATTATAAATGTATAACTGAATTAGTAGCTTTTCATGCAAAATGTTGTCAAGCTAGCTCCACTTATAAAGCCTTGCTGATCCTTGGAGTCACTTTCTTTTTGGTTTATGACGGGTAAGTCTAGCTGAGTACATTCTCGTACTCAAGTTTATTTCCCATGTGTCTGATGTTGTCCATGAAAGTGTCCTTTTTAATTTCTAGAAGAGTGATTCTGTTAGTTAATGTTAATATTAAAAGGCACGCCCTTCTACTTTCTTGGGGATAAGTAATGCAGCATCAATATTCAATCTTAGAAGCATATCCAAAAGATCTCTTATTTCAGTTGAAATATAGAACGAAGATCAATCATCCGGTGTTTTGCAAGCACCTCAACCCTCCTTCTCTCAAGCCGATTCATAAGAATCGGAATGAGGAAATGAAATTTCCTTTTGATTTCTCTAAATGTGACCGAATCTTTGATGAATTATTGAAATTTGGTTATATTAGAATTAATTATACATTGCCTTTAGCCAATGAGTAAAAGAGACGGGCTTATTGCAAATATCATAACTCTTTTTCTCATGCCACTAATGATTGTAATGTTTTCCGTTGGCAGGTCCAATCATCCCTTAATGAGGACGATTGAGTCTTATTGAGATGCAAGTTGATAAGTCCCCTTTTCCCATGCATATGGTTGAAGTAGGGGCACCCGCTGTTTTGATTCGTCCAGAGCAAGCCGATAAAGCTCAAGGCAAGAATGTGATTATTGGTGAACCACATGTAGCACCGAATGTCAAAAAGAATTCAGGGTGCAAGGTGGTGCTTGAGAAGGATAATGAAGGCAAGAACAAACTAAAGATGACTGCTGGATCAGCGCAATACTTGAGAAGGTAGTGGTGGTACGAAACAGCGGTGGCACAGTAGAGGCCGACTAGGCCGACTCCACCAGTCGACCAAGCCAACTCCAGTGCATAGTAGAGCCAGTCGGCTCGGCCAACCCAAGGGGTTGGCTTAGCCGACTCTACCCCCACATCAGCCAAGTTAGCTAAGCCGACTGCCCCAGTCAGCTTAGCCAACTCCCCTAGTTCCAGCAACCCTGGTTCCTCTAGTGTTCATGTTTGACGCACATTTGTTCCACAGCGGCCGAAGATTGGTACCTAGAAGACAAATGAAATGAAGAGACAGGGAGAGTTTGTGAAGAAGCAATGCACCTTTGATAGACTCATGACCAAGTACAAGCAGCAAAAGGTTGATTCCCAAAATTGGCCATTAGAAAAAGGAGAGTCTACTCCTCCTAAGCGAGAAGATGACAAGTCTGAGCAATTGGCGGTAGTGCAACCAGCAACTCCACCTCAGAGAGTTGCTCCTCATGTATCTCGTTGAGTCCCCCGATTCCACCTCCTATCATGCCACAATGGGGTCCCTATGGAGTTTGGGTGCCATATCCTTCGATGGCACCAATGCCGGGTCAACAAAGGTGGGGAGAGCCTGCTAGTCAAGTCTAGAGGACCTCCATGTTTAGTCGATTGAACCATGGTCAATCGGGCTTCGGTGGTGCAAGTCAAGACTTTGTGGCTCTGTAAGGATCAGGAAAGGCACCAATGCAGCAAGTTTATGTGCCTAAGACGATTGAGGCTCATGTTGTTCCCCCACCAAGGGCTAGGCCTCAATCGGTAATCACAATCGGCTCCATGGAAGCTCCCATCACTAATCATGATGGGCCAATTGTAATTGAAGATTCTCTAGCACCTAAGCAAGATGAAGTCCCTAAAGAAGTTGCTGGAGTCAAAGAGAAGAAATGTGCTGAAGGAGATTCCAAGTACCGACAACCCATATGGTGTCCTCATGGGTTGAATAAGACTCAACGGCATAAATTGCAACGTGCTCGGCATAAGCAATAGAAGAGGGAGAAGCTTGCAAAGATGGAGGGTGAAATCTTCAACCCCAAACACATCGAGATCCTTCCAAAATATCATAATGCCACTACAGCTGCTAGCCAGTCTGCTCAGCCGTCTTCAAAGTCAGCTAAGCCAACCCTTACTGAATGCCGGTCGGCTAAGCTGACTCTAGAGTCGGCTAAGCCGACTAACACCCCTACTACTACTCTGGGGAGCCTAGAGTTAGCTAAGCCGACTGCTGCTGCCCCTACTGCTCTAGAAATTCTAGAGTCGGTTAAGCCGACTTCTGAGTCGGCTAAGCTGACTCCCGCTATCCTAGGTGCCTTCGAGATGTCTTCTAATGATTTTGCTTCCACCGTTTCTACCCTAGTAGGCATGGAGGTCCCTGAGGTTCCCGATGAGGAGATGGTTGATTATGAAGCCACTCTAGAGAGGGCGGAGGTCAATGTGGTTGTTTTATCTGCTGATTACTATATCGTGGTGGATGATTCAACAGCGGCGGAGTTTAATTTCACAACGGATAGCGCTGTATTCCAGAAACCAGATGACTCCATCAACTATCTCAAGCATCTACATGTGAAGGCCATATCAATGGCACACCGGTCCATAGAATGTTGGTGGACAGTGAGTCGATAGTGAACTTGATGCCATATCCACTTTACAAGAAGCTCGGTGGCACTGATGAGGAGCTGGTCAAAACCAACAAGAACATTAGTGGTGTTGGAGGAGGTGCTCCTTTCCCGGCTAGAGGAGTTGCTAACATGGAGCTCACCATTGGAAGTAAGACTTTCACTACTATACTCAGACCTTTCATAGCCACGTCGTAACCCCCATCGCAGCCGCATTTTGGCCTTGGTAGTAAGCTGTCAACAGTGGTGGTCATAGCCCTCACCATCACTATCTGAGACCATTTGCGGTGTACACTCACACCGCCATATTGGCTTATGATCCGTCCATGATAAGGTCCTTATTTTCATTGCATTGGAGCACGAACTGGCTGTGTGGGTATACACTAACATCGCCGTATTAGTTTATGATCCGTCCGTGATGAGGTCCTTGTTTCTGTCACATTGGAGCATGACCCACCTATGTGGGTCTACACTCACAGTGCCGTGTTGGCTTATGATCCATTCATGATCAGGCCGTTGTTTCCATCGCATTGTACCACGACCCGCCCGTGACGAGGACATCATCACCGTCGCTCTGATGTATTACCCGTCTGTTTGAATGGCATTACCACCATCGCCTTGTAGTACGATCTGACCTTGATGAGGATGTACTAGGTGTCGGTTTACTAGTCGAGACGACGGTGATGATTTTGTGATCCCATCGCATCATAGGCTAGACCGGCCTTGTTGATGATGCTTCCGCCACCGGTTAATGGTATAGTGCGATGGTGATGAGGCGTTCCTCATAGTCACATAGTCGTATGATACAGTGGTGTTGACAACACAAGAACGGTGGTTCAATACAAAATGGAGACTGTTCCAGAATGGTACTGTATCCGGAATTGACAATAATTATTAATTAAGATGGACCATAATTACATGACACGACATGCAGATATATTTGTCAAATCCATACAATACATTCACATAGAAGAGTACTTTTGATAATAGATGATACGCTGACAGTAGTAGCTAGGATACAGACATGTAGAATTTAAACTATTGTGGATAAATTAAAAACCATACATGATAATTAAAACACCTCGTGGTCTCCATGTATGGCCTCATCGAGGATAAAAGTAGCCAGGCATTCTTGAAGCGCCAATATGTCTCGAGTGGTCAGCTCCATTGTATCCGACAGCAACATAGACTACAAGAAGGTATCATTGTAGTAATGTAACATGGAGTGCATTGTTCAATTTAATCAGTAGAGATTTGTGTGTTGGTATAATAAGAACATGTTTGTGTTTTGTGGCTTAGATGATCCTGCTCATGTAATCCATTACATAGAACGCACTAAAATCTCTGCCACCAGGACGTTGCTTTGTAATCATATCGACCACCGTTACTCTGAACCCATCATTCTAGGAAAGACCATAGAGTTCACTCTACTTTTTGTACTTGTCGTAAGCCCTATCATCATCCAGTAGAAAGATCATTGTGATGAACAAAAAATTTGTTACACATATAAATGATGAGATCTACGAAACCACATTGTAAAATGCATGGAACGAGAGCTGTACTTATTCATGATTTTTTTGAAGGGTTTGATATGCTTCATTCCCCTCCTGCTTGTATCATACACGAAGAGCTTGGAATGGAGCAGGTCTATAGCAACAAGACAAGTATGTTCGCTTCAATAAAGAAAATCAGATGTAGATTAGAGTCCCACTTGGTACATGTAATTACGTAAATGAATTACTCGCTTACCCGTCAATGTATGGCAGGAGAATTAGTGATTTATCATCCAGGGCTAGAATGGAGTCGCACATAGCCTCCATCGCCGTTGTGAAGTCCACTGTGCTGGAGTTAAAGGTCACCAGGTTGAAGAAACCTATTGCAATATTTTTGTCCTTGCATGTATTTGCCTCCATCCTAAAGACAAAAAAAGTTAAATTTGACAGATACAATGATTCAATTAAATGTGCACACATGGGGCAGAAGCTCACATACATGGTCCACAAGGATAAGATTTGGACATCCAGGGGGAAAACATTGTAAAAGTCAAACAATTGCTTGAACTTCACCCATAGGACCTCATCCTCTCCATGATAGAAAGGTTTTTCCTGGTATCTTGCACCAATCTGGAATCCCTTTTCATTTAAGTACCACTCATTCAGAGCTTGCATTTTTGTTGGCAATTTGTGGACCCGATTCGGATGCACTAGAGATTGACCTAACTTAAACTATCATTGCTAGTTTTGTTTTGTGCCTATCTGCTCCGTCTCTATTGTTTTCTTGGATTGGTTTTATTTTGTGCATGTCTGCTTTGTCTCTGTTGTTTTCTTGGAGGGTCAATGCAAGTTATTTTGATTGCTATCTGTGGCAGTTTCCTTGTCTGATGCACTAATCTTCCAAATCTTATGGGGTCGCTCCCTAGTTTCAGAAATTGGTGGCACTGCAGGTGTAGGCCTTGGATTGGTAAGTTTGATATCTTTGTTGGAACTACAATCCAACATTGTGGCAATAAGAACTATGTTACGCTTCCGCCACGGCACCAAGGACCCCATGTTGACCGCTAGCGTTGACCTATCATCATACATGGTCATTTCCAACTCAACTGTGTCATACTTTTCTTTGGCCAATATATCTAGGATAACTGCTACATAGCCTAGAGGCAACGTATGTCCATTTATCATATTCCCTGGATGAACCTGACCAGCAGCCACCTTGTGCCTAAATATAGCCTTGCATCCCTGTGACTCCACGTAAAGCATGCAATATGTAGGTTAGCTGATGTGATCCACGTTGAAGGTGGAATCTGCATCTACTTCTGGAAGTTGTGTGCTTTCGCGGCTGCTGTGTACCCGTTTTGAGTTGAAGTTTCCCCAGGAAACTAGTCCCACTTCTTCTCTTTGAGCCTGGTATGTGGTTGTCAATGCCACCTCCTTTTCTTTCCATTTGGCCTTGAACATACCTGACAATTCTTCACACACATTTGCAATTTTTCTAGCATTATGCCTCCCACGATTTCTATATGTGGATTGGTCATTTTCAAAGGCAATCTACCATGGAACTAGTCCTACACCTCGTGCTCGACCAGGATGCTCTTTTGTCCCTAGTGCCCGACTCAGGACATCATCCTCCCTGTCTAGAATGAAAGTACCATTTGCCACTTGAGCCTGTAGTGCTTGTATCCTTTTAGCAAGTTCCTGGACTGCATCATTTGAAAAACTTAGGGAGCCATCATTGTTGTAGGTCATCTTTCTTGCAAGAAGATACCTCAATGAGCAGGCATCCCAACCTTGAGTCTATGGTGTAACACCTTTTTGGAATAGCTCTTGTAACTTCTTCTCCCACTCAGGAACTTTCTTCATGTACCCCCGAGAGCCGGTGCGGTGGGGGTTATCATTTCTACGGGAGTTGAGGGTATTTACTTTGCTAATTTTACGAGCTTCCTCTGAGTTCTTCGAACTGACAAAATCTTCCCAATATGGTTGCTGAGTAGGGTGCTCACTGTTTTGCCAATTTGGCTCTGTTCCCTTTAACACATGTTCTTTGTACAACCCATACTTGAAACACCTCCATTTTTTCCCATGCAGTGCAATGCCTGTTTCTTCATAATTTCTGTATTGGTGGGGTGCAAGTTGAATTCAAACAAATTCACCATCTGATCCCAACATTTCTTCTTGATTTCCTTAGTAACACACCAATCCTCTTGACCTTTCCTCTTCTTCTAGTACCTAAATTTGATTAGGACAAGTTTTCTCACAATCGCACCCTAGGTGCTGTGGTATGGCGTTATCACTGTGTCTGGTTCCTTGGGTTCTCCAATGTAATCGAACTGGTTGATGACAAGTCAGTAAGTGCGCAGCTTGTTGCGATGTCGCTTGGTCCTGTGTTGAACTGCTGTGTTTGTTGGTTCTTGTGCGCCAGTATCCTACATATTGACCGCAATGTTGCAATTATTGGTGGTAGCCGTTATGTATATTGACAATGTCATGAGTCATGAGTATTGAGTAATTACCTCCCCATTTCCTTTGAGGGTTAGATATGTTGAAGGTGAAACTAGGCAAATGCCATCGTCTCCACCTTCAACTTCAATCTGCAGATTATGCTCTGGAGCCCGCAATAATGATGTTCGGTACAGTGTCAATACCATTGGTGCTGCAGATACCAATCCATAGACATACATTGTTAGTGCAAGCTAGTAACGTGCGCTAAATAGAATCCCAAAAAACTATTGTTTTGGTTCATTTTGGATCAAAGGCATTCACCTAGATTTATTGAAAGCTTAACGAAGCCTAAGATCCAGAGGTGGGGTTACTAGCTTTCAGTTGAGAGCAGAAAACGCATCTAACAACCGTCCATCACAAAGACAATGACTAAAGCAAA